TTGTTTTTCCAATGTTAAATTTGGCCATACGAGCAAAAATTGGAGCCCAGGGTTTTCCCTTACTCCGGTTTGGCCTCATTTGTTTGCTGCCTTTTTGGGAAAGATTACAATGGTAAAATTTTTCCGGAAAATGACAAGGAGGATGACAAAAGATATCCCATGTTTCAAAACCTTCCCTAGGGATAGAAAGGGCCTGAAACTCCCTCCTGGGGAAACGTGTTTGGGGGGGATTTTGTTTTGGGGGTTTATAAGTGGAAGACAGGAAAAAAAAGGGGATTTATGGGGAAAAATATTTACCTGCGGTTCGAGCAATGTTTTGTTGGTTCTTGGAGGGATTGGGGGTTTTGGGTTTGGGGTTTTTTGAGTTTGGATGGGTGGAAAACCCCCAATTCCCGTTTGAGGCCGCTTGTGTAGCTTAAAAATGGGGAAAAATACATGGTAATGGGGTGGGTGTGATTTGGACCGAACTTGGAACGGGTCGGTTGCCGGTTCCCCCTTAAGTCAATGTCCCTGACCTACTAGGTTGGGTTTTGCAGGGCCCTTTTTAAGAGGTAGGGATTGGCCTGCCTCGCAGGGGCCCAGTGGGCCTTGCGTGTTCCTTCGTTTTATGGTTCTTATGTTTATTTATATTATAAAATTTTATATATATATTTATATATAAATTATTATATTATATTATATAATATATATTATTATTATTATTTTATTATAATTTGCTACGAGTCTTCTATCATGCAGTTCAATAATCCCGAAGTACCTTTTAAAATTCTCAACAGTTAATATATTCTTGCCTCATAGTGTTGATTTTTATGCAGTGAGTGATATTCTTTTCATATTCGCGGTAACGACGTTACATATTTCTTTTGCATTCCCTTTGTAATCTTATATAACTTGCATTATCCTCAGGGTGTAATTTCCTTCCGTAATTTTTCACGCTCACGGCTTTAGCCCTCTTACCTCCGTTCACTATTTTGCCGACAAAGACACAAACTGCAGAACGAGCTTAAATTAGAAGAATATTTCGCTTTGTGAAGAGCTTTCATGACTTGATAAAGGTCTAAACAAGGCAAAACGTTACCCCAATAAAAGTTTGATCTGCAACTTTTGTCTTTGTTTTCGTGTGTTGGCTATCACTCGACACTCTCTTGTGGTTCTGCATGCATATAAATATATATATTATATATATATATATATATATATATATATATATATATATATATATATATAATATATTATAATAATATATAATATATATATATATATATATATATATATATATATATATATATATATATATATATATATATATATATATATATATAATCACACTGGCCGATTCCCACCAAGGCAGGGTGGCCCGAAAAAGAAAAACTTTCACCATCATTCACTCCATCACTGTCTTGCCAGAAGGGTGCTTTACACTACAGTTTTTAAACTGCAACATTAACGGCCCTCCTTCAGAGTGCAGGCACTGCACTTCCCATCTCCAGGACTCAAGTCTGGCCTGCCGGTTTCCCTGAACCCCTTCATAAATGTTACTTTGCTCACACTCCAACAGCACGTCAAGTATTAAAAACCATTTGTCTCCATTCACTCCTATCAAACACGCTCACGCATGCCTGCTGGAAGTCCAAGCCCCTCGCACGCACAACCTCCTTTACCCCCTCCCTCCAACCTTTCCTAGGCCGACCCCTACCCCGCCTTCCTTTCACTACAAACTGATACACTCTTGAAGTTATTCTGTTTCGCTCCATCCTCTCTACATGTCCGAACCACCTCAACAACCCTTCCTCAGCCCTTTGGACAACAGTTTTGGTAATCCCGCACCTCCTCCTAACTTCCAAACTACGAATTCTCTGCATCATATTCACACCACACATTGCCCTCAGACATGACATCTCCACTGCCTCCAGCCTTCTCCTCGCTGCAACATTCAAAACCCATGCTTCACACCCATATAAGAGCGTTGGTAAAACTATACTCTCATACATTCCCCTCTTTGCCTCCAAGGACAAAGTTCTTTGTCTCCACAGACTCCTAAGTGCATCACTCACCCTTTTCCCCTCATCAATTCTATGATTCACCTCATCTTTCATAGACCCATCCGCTGACACGTCCACTCCCAAATATCTGAATACATTCACCTCCTCCATACTCTCTCCTCCAATCTGATATCCAATCTTTCATCACTAATCTTTTTGTTATCCTCATAACCTTACTCTTTCCTGTATTCACTTTTAATTTTCTTCTTTTGCATACCCTACCAAATTCATCCACCAATCTCTGCAACTTTTCTTCAGAATCTCCCAAGAGCACAGTGTCATCAGCAAAGAGCAACTGTGACAACTCCCACTTTGTGTGATTCTTTATCTTTTAACTCCACGCCTCTTGCCAAGACCCTCGCATTTACTTCTCTTACAACCCATCTATAAATATATTAAACACCACGGTGACATCACACATCCTTGTCTAAGGCCTACTTTTACTGGGAATAATTTCCCTCTTTGCTACATACTCTAACTTGAGCCTCGCTATCCTCGTAAAAAACTCTTCACTGCTTTCAGTAACCTATCTCCTACACTATCACCTGCAAACATCTGCCACATTGCCCCCCTATCCACCCTGTCATACGCCTTTTCCAAATCCATAAATGCTACAAAGACCTCTTTAGCCTTATCTAAATACTGTTCACTTATGTGTTTCACTGTAAACACCTGGTCCACACACTCCCTACCTTTCCTAAAGCCTCCTTGTTCATCTGCTATCCTATTCTCCGTCTTACTCTTAATTCTTTCATTAATAGCTCTACCATACATTTTACCAGGAATACTCAACAAACTTATCCCCCTATAATTTTTGCACTCTTTTGTCCCCTTTGCCTTTATACAAAGGAACTATGCATGCTCTCTGCCAATCCCTAGGTACCTTACCTTCTTCCATACATTTATTAAATAATTGCACCAACCACTCCAAAACTATATCCCCACCTGCTTTTAACATTTCTATCTTTATCCCATTAATCCCGGCTGCCTTACCCCCTTTCATTTTACCTACTGCCTCACGAACTTCCCCCACACTCACAACTGGCTCTTCCTCGCTCCTGCAAGATGTTATTCCTCCTTGCCCTATACAAGAAATCACAGCTTCCCTATCTTCATCAACATTTAACAATTCCTCGAGATATTCCCTCCATCTTCCCAATACCTCTAACTCTCCATTTGATAACTCTCCTCTCCTATTTTTAATTGACAAATCCATTTGTTCTCTAGGCTTCCTTAACTTGTTAATCTCACTCCAAAACTTTTTCTTATTTTCAACAAAATTTGTTGATAACATCTCACCCACTCTCTCATTTGCTCTCTTTTTACATTGCTTCACCACTCTCTTAACACCTCTCTTTTTCTCCATATACACTTCCCTCCTTGCATCACTTCAACTTTGTAAAAACTTCTCATATGCTAACTTTTTCTCCCTTACTACATCATCATTCCACCAATCGCTCCTCTTCCCTCCCACACCCACCTTCCTGTAACCACAAACTTCTGTTGAACACTCCAACACTTCATTTTTAAACCTACCCCATACCTCTTCGACCCCATTGCCTATGCTCTCATTAGCCCATCTATCCTCCAATAGCTGTTTATATCTTACCCTAACTGCCTCCTCTTTTAGTTTATAAACCTTCACCTCTCTCTTCCCTGATGTTTCTGTTCTCCTTGTATCCCATCTGCCTTTTACTCTCAGTGTAGCTACAACTAGAAAGTGATCTGATATATCTGTGGCCCCTCTATTAACATGTACATCCTGAAGTCTACTCAACAGTCTTTTATCTACCAATACAAAATCCAACAAACTACTGTCATTTCGCCCTACATCATATCTTATATACTTATTTATCCTCTTTTTCTTAAAATATGTATTACCTATAACTAAACTCCTTTCTATACAAAGTTCAATCAAAGGGCTCCCATTTTCATTTACACCTGGCACCCCAAACTTACCTACCACACCCTCTCTAAAAGTTTCTCCTACTTTAGCATTCAGGTCCCCTACCACAATTACTCTCACTTGGTTCAAAGGCTCCTATACATTCACTTAACATCTCCCAAAATCTCTCTCTCTCCTCTACAGTCCTCTCTTCTCCAGGTGCATACACACTTATTATGACCCACTTTTCGCATCCAACCTTTATTTTAATCCACATAATTCTTGAATTTAAACATTCATATTTCTTTTTCCCCTTCCATAACTGATCCTTCAACATTACTGCTACCCCTTCCTTTGCTCTAACTCTCTCAGTTTACTCCAGATTTAATCCCATTTATTTCCCCCCACCGAAACTCCCCTACCCCCTTCAGCTTTGTTTCGCTTAGGGCCAGGACATCCAACTTCTTTTCATTCATAACATCAGCAATCATCTGTTTCTTGTCATCCGCACTACATCCACGCACATTCAAGCATCCCAGTTTTATAAAGTTTTTCTTCTTCTCTTTTTTAGTAAATGTCTACAGGATTACTAGCCCATTGCTCCCGGCATATATACAAATATATATATATATATATTATATATATATATATATTATATATATATATATATTTTATATATATATATATTTTTTATTTATTTATTTATTTGTACGCGCAGTCGTGTGTGCATGTGTGTGTGTGTGTGTGTGTAAATAAAGATAAAGCAAATACTTTTTATCCGTAACTTCATCATAATATCATTTATTAAGATGTATTGCACACGATCGTCCTCAACAATTTGATTAGTTGAAGTTGATGGTTTGTCAGGTGCAGTTGTATATGACCGGTCATCCTTATGACGAAGTTACTGAGTCTAGAATATCACTTGGAAATGTACATGTAATGCAGGCTTTAGACATCCTTTATGGCCATAAATAATGCAGTAACAGTCTCTACATTCATCTTAGTTCTTTACCAAGTTCATTTGACTAAATGCTCTTTCCAACTTTGCATTTTAATGTGGCAAGCTGAGAATGGCTGCCGAAGCTGTAGATAATTCTAAAAATGAATTTACATCTGAAGCATCTTTGTGCCTGTACACTTGCCGAAAACCTTTACAGTCTTTAGTCTCACACTGTTTCACTACTGTTATATTTAGCTACTGCACTTCAGCCTTCAGTAATATTTCCTGACTAATATTAAGAAGCCTCAAATATTGGAATTATAATCTTTTCTAACACACAGAGCACTACACACATTTAGCTTAGATATTGTTTTCAGTACTTTAACATTATCTGGGAGTCTTTGGTGAAGTTCCTTGATAAGACTGATCAAAAAGTTAGAGCATCGCTCACGGAGGCTTTGTTTCTGCTCGGGAGCTAAACTTGATTCTGACTACATTCTTTTTTCTTTTCTTCACAGCCAAGATTTTACTTTGGAGCAATATATTCTTTCAAAATGCAGGTGAAGAAATCAATATCATTGGACTGGAAAGGTGCCAGTATTACAGTCTGAAGTGACAAATATTCCAGGAAAAAATATATTTGCAATTAATAGATTATTCTGTTACTAATTCACCTAAAAATGATTTAGAAAGTGGTCAAAACTTTGAACTCTTCGGTTATTTTCTCTGTTGTATGCTAGATGCCTAATTTTTCTATCTATGTGGTTAAAAATGGCTAGATCTATCCGAAAATGGCTTATGACAACATTGGACTCAACTGCGTCTTGCCGTGCCTTAACCACGGGGGCGAACGGCATCCAAATTAAGTGGCAGCTATTATTAGAGTGCATCGGACAAGTGTGGTTGTAGTAGCAGCAACACAGAGCAAGAAGCGTTCTTGAGCTTCCCCAGCGCTCGGGCTTAATGCCCAAAGCTGGGGTGTGCCTCCAAAAGGATCCTGTAGTTCTTGCTGCCTTTTCACCTCGTGACATCGTCTGCTGCTATGCAGCTGCCACACCCTTCGAGTCCAGTGTGGGCGGGGGTTGTGGCAGCCCAAGGTGCCTAGCTTCTCCCTCCGAGCCCCGTGGAGGCGGGGAATGGAGCTAGGCCTGAGGACAGCTGGTCCCAGAAGACGAGAAGGTACTTGTGCCTCCTCCCATGGCAGACATTAGTCTGAGACACTCCCTAGACAGGGAGTCAAGGCTGGGCCACCTCTTGGAAAAGGCCTGAGCAGGGCGATTATACTGGCGAATCTACAACAAAACAGCTATCATCCGTGTCCCCTCTTCCTCCGAGCATTGTCGAATTCACGGAGCCTCAAATATAGAATCAGATTCACCTAGCTCTGGGGTTCAAGAAAAATAATTTATTCAGAAGGTCGCACGTAATGCCCCAGAAGGCCACACATGCGTCCTAAAGGCCGCAGGTTCTCCACACTGAGTCCTAGCCCCTGCATTAGTACTGGATTCACTTAACTCTAGCCAAAAGAGTGGATTCAATAAGCCTTCAGCATAGAATCAGATCCACCTAGCCTCACCTATAGGACAGACGGAATCCCTATCTCTCAACTCCACCACGCCGCCAAGACCATAGGATCAAAACCTACACCAGGCGATTTTCACTGAAGAATGAACGTAAACATTCAGACTACAAGTACATATTCACAGCGAATTCAGTAATGTTATGGTCACTTACACTTAATTTTTCAGCACTCACATTATTAAATTATGATGCGGCATGTTGTATGAGCTGTTTTCAATGATTTTAAAATATTATCGTCGCTCATTTTGGTGATTAATGTAGAAGTTAAGTTGTTGATGAACATGTTAATTTGACCGTTAATTTCCAGATCATTTGATTTAACGTGCAAATTGAAGTTTGAAGTGTGTGTGTGTTTGTATATATATATATATATATATATATATATATTATATATATATATATAATATATTGGGGTATAATCAGATGCCATCCGACATAAGGGGGGGGATTGATCAAAATCCTTGGATCAGGAACCCTTCAAAGTATCAAATTTCTTCTCCCGCATGAAGAGATCCACAATAATTGAAGCTATATTATTTTTTTCAAATGGCTGTTTACAATTTAAAAAAAATCGCGACGAATTTCAACATATATGGAATTACAGGCTTCCATTTACTAGTTATAGATCATAACAGCACATAAACCTTTGAATTTGATTCCCACATTCCCCCCATGGTCTCTCTCTCTCTCTCTCTCTCTCTCTCTCTCTCTCTCTCTCTCCTCTCTCTCTCTCTCTCTCTCTCTCTCTCTCTCTCTCTCTCCCTCTTTCCCTCTTTCCCTCTCTTCAGCTTCACACTCACAGTAGGCAGTCACTCTTTTTTTCGTGTTTATTGATGACCACGGGAAGTCCAGCTCTGAATATCGGGATGACATAAACAAAACATAGGAGCGTCTTCCTCATTGCTCGTCTCTGTTTTATCGCTGTGTTAAATATTTTACTGCAAGGAAAATGGCCAGTTGGGGTCTTACTGCCACGAAGGATTTCTCGAGGGGAGAGAGAGAGAGAGAGAGAGAGAGAGAGAGAGAGAAAGAGAGAGATGATGATGATGGCTTCAACTTCATCCTGTTCCCTACTTGTATGCCTCATAACAATAAAAATGCTTTCAAATGAGCTGATGTAGGTAACAGCTCATAGCTTGTCGATAAAGCTAGGGATCCTTAATCTAACCTTGTCAAACCCTGTGTAAAAAAAAAAAAAAAAAAAGGGAGTGTTCATTGAAATTCCATATGACAGAAGCCCTTAGTACGCCCAACACCAGTACGCCGGAGATTACTTGATGACGGCCAGGGAACGCTTTTTTTTTTTCTTTCTGACGAAGAAAACATCACTCACTGACCTCTTACTGGCCTCATTCAGCCCTGAGAAGAAGTCGTCTTTATTTGCAAGATGCTCTTGCACTCTTGAAAGCAATTTACGCAAGGTGCTTGTTCATCCAAACAACACAGCATTGTTTTTTGCTTGTACAAGTTATGACGGTGTTTGGGTGTATTTGGGTGTGTGTTTTATTTTTAGTACTGTTATTATACTAGCTAAAATGCCTTTATCCACGTTTATACTTCATTTCCTGAGCTCTTCGTGTATTTTCATGTCACTGAATCACCTTGCACCTTAAATAATGTGTCATATTTGTTTATAAAAAGCTTAAACATGTTAATGGTGTAAATGCGACCCTCAGAGACAGTGTTGCCTGAAGAAAACAAGTTAAGTTCTCTTGAGTCTTTATTAATTGATGTTTCTTAGTGAAGATATGTCGTTTCTTCTCCAGTTTGTTTTTGTCTCTTATTTTTTTGCGAGAACTTTCATAGAATTTATTAAAGTGAGGTTTAGCGAGTACGTTATATTGTCGTTCTTGTTTCCGGGAAATTTTACGGGAAGATTGAAAGAGAGAGAGAGAGAGAGTTAAAACTTGTACTGAACTTTCAACTTTCAACTTGATGATTTATGGAGAACACTTTTTTTTTACTCGCCATATCCTGAATGTCGAGTTTCGAGGAATTTCACTACATTGAAGACTGCAATAATGTTGTAATATTTTGATGAAAGATATTTGTCATTTATTATTTGTCTATTATTATCACTTATTATTATTATTATTATTTAATGGTGAACAACTCTAGTGTCTTATATTATTACTAGCATCAAATCATCAACATGATCATCACGTCAACAACAACACCTGTACAACAACAACTACCATCATAACTACAGCCAACACAGGGCGCCCCTATAAGCTACGAGAAGACAAAATGGCAAATAAATTTTAAAGTACAATTCCTGTGGTAACTCTCCCAGGCAGGGAAACCACGTCGGTCTTGGGGCCGAACAAGTGACATGTGTCATCCTCCTCATTGCTTATTCGGACAAGGCTTCCGTCCCAAATATGTATCATCTCCGACAACCCTGCATCGGATATCGGAATCGCGATCTGCGGATTATGAAAATTCTTTCGAGTTTGTAGACATATGCAAGAGCCGCTGTGGGATATCGTCGGGGTGGGGCCTCGTAGGATGAGGCATCGTGATTTGTGGGATATCGTCGGGGTGGGGCCTCGTAGGATGAGGCATCGTGATTTGTGGGATATCGTCGGGGTGGGGCCTCGTAGGATGAGGCATCGTGAGTTGTGGGATATCGTCGGCTTTGGGACATCGCAAATTGTGGGACATCGTAGGTTCTAGTTAAGGACATAATAGTCTTGCATAATGTATTCAAATACAGAAAGGAATCACTCTGGCCACAATATTCAGCATGGGGAAAGTAGTTGTTGCTGCTGTAGTAGTCCTCTAAAACACCATTATCTACCTCTCTTCAAGTCACCCGAGATGTGATGCTGACTTCTTGCATCCTCGCAATAGTTCCGGCACCACTGAAAGACTCATGACAAATTCTTGCATAGGTACTTTATCTACTGACGATTAAAAAAACATCACCACAAGAATCTGAGTAGAATTAGGAAGTCAAATGTAAGATTTTCGTCGTATTACGTACATTGCATACTTTTTAATTCTATGAAATTTCTTGTGCGCCTGAGGGAATATATTATATATATATATAATATATATATATATATATATATATATATATATATATATATATATATATATATATATATATATATATATATATATATGCATGCAAAACAACCACTGAATGAGTAGTGAAATTCCAAGCGCTTTCGTGACTACTCACATTGTCAAGGAACTATGAAAGTAATACATCAAAGGAAGGCAATTAAAGGGCTTAGACCACACCTCACATTAAAGTCCCACAACAAAGAAACACCTGACGCGGGACAATACCGGACTCATAAGAAAAGAGGAACACTGCAGTAGGTCCGCTGGTCTAACTTGACAGGTTCTCACGACAACCCACCAACAAATCATTCTACCCAAGAAATAAGGTTTATTATTTGTCCAATGTATTATTAAACTCTAACCAAATTTTATTAATTATAAATGAATCTAATTTATACAAACCTAAGGAAATATTCATATTATTTTCAAAACTGCTTTTTATGAAACAAGATACAATTATATTTCTGTCAACCATGGACTTGCTTGATACAACTTTCTCAACTTTTTGAAAATCAATTAGATGGTTAAAGTCTCTCACA